GCCAGAAGAAAAAAGCCAACGCAGCAGGAAGATGCCTTCACTTGACCTCTGCCTTCCAGATGCTTCCCACTGCTTTGCTCTTTGTTACTACTTCTGTCTCAGATATTCTACCTGGAGTTACTTTTCCTTCTGCTTAAAATGTCCTTTAGAATTTTCCAAGGGTCTGCTTGTGATGAGCTTTCCCTTTTGTTTTCCCTGAAAATACCCTCACTCTTGGAAGATTTAAAACGAAAATGAACAGATTTTGAAATTGCTGGGAGAAACTCCATGTTCTCCCTCCCTTGTTTGCCAGGAGAAAACAATGAAAACTGCAGATATAAGGCCTGTCTCAAATCTGCTTACTAAATTCTGAAAACCTAATTCACAGAATTCAACTTCAAAGAAGTCTACAAAATGATTTTGTGTGTGTGTGTGTGTGTGTGTGTGTGTGTCCTAGCCTTTCCTGGGCAGTAAAACACTCCACAAGGAGATAGTAACAGTGGAAAGGATCCCTGTGGTTAAATGGCATCAATGTAGGGGCCTGACTTGGCCAATGGGCTTGACAAGGAGAAACCAAGGAGGCTTTTGGGTGGGCCACGTAAGCATAGTGTTGGGAAAAGCCAGGTGGTAATAGACAGAACAGAAGAAGAGAGGAATGAATTCAGCAAATGTAGATGGTTTGAGGATTCCTATGTAAGAAGAGAAGGAGTGGATTGAAGGTACATCTAGTTTCAACAAAGCTTTGGTTGGCTTTTCTTCTGCTTGGGAATCAGACATGTTTTTGTGTGGAAGGGAAGGTGTTAACCAAGGAGAAGAGAGGGAGAGAGATGACACTGATATATGGAGGGATGGCTGCTGGTGTAGGAGGTGCTCACAGAGTGTGGAAAGATGTCATGATATTTGGCTAAGTGACAAACGCATATTGTAGAGCAAACACTGTATGGTCCTTTTCCTGTTTTAAAAATGTATTAGCTGGCTGGGCACAGTGGCTCACTCCTGTAATCCCAGTGGCTTGGGAGGCTGAGACAGGAAGATCGTGAGTTCAAAGCCAGCCTCTGCAAAAAGCAAGGTGCTAAACAACTCAATGAGACCCTGACTCAAAATAAAATATGAAATATGGCTGGGGATGTGGCTCAGTGGTCAAGTGCCCTTTAGTCCAATCCCTAGTACCATAAAAAAAAAAAAAGGTATTAGCTGGGCGCAGTGGCGTACTCATATAATCCCAGTGACTCCAGAGGCTGAGGCAGGAGGACCACAAGTTTGGGGTCAGCCTCAGCAACTTAGCAAAGCCCTAAGCAACTTAGTGAGATCCTGTCTCAGAAATAAAAAGTAAAAAGGGCTGGGGGATGTGGCTCAGTGGTAAAGCACCCTTGAGTTCAATCCCCACTACAAAAATAAAACATACACACACACACACACACACACACACACACACACACACACATATATATGTTTTCAAATAATATATATATATATGTTTACATATATTTATTTCTTATCCTTTCTTCTACAACAATCACATATTATTTTTATAAATAGAAAAATGCAATTAAGGTTGTTAAGAGGACAGAAGTGGAGAGTTATCCTTGAATTATAATAGGAATAAATTGCTGGAAAAAACCCTAAACTGCTTAATAAAATAATATGCAAGCTGAGTAAAAAAGTAAAGCGATATTTAGGCACAAAGGGAGGACAGGGAGGCACACAAAGTACAAAGCCAGATGTGGACTGGAGGACATGTCCAGGGTGGGTGAATCTGAGCACCAAATTCTTCAGCTTCTCAGGACTAGCAGGATAGAAGATAAAGCCCAGGGCCCACCAAGAGGGAAGACTAACAGGAAATGCCCCCAAAGCAAAAACTCTACAGGGCTAGTCTCAGTGTAAAGGTGACCTAGAAATAAGCTCTTTCATGTCATAGATCTGCAAGGAAAACTGCCTTTCTTGGATCCTGATGCTAATTAAATTGAGGTGGGTCTGGGAGCTCCCACTTAAAAAAATTGTAACCACAGGCCTACTCTCTTACAAGTTTCAGTCTCCATTTACACACTAGGCCCCACTCTCCTTCCAAAAGAATAACCAAAAAACTTTGGAGTCAATAATTTGATTAAAAATAGTCCTGCTCTTGTAATGCCTACATGTACCTGACAGAAGCAAGCATCCCTGCCCTCAAAGAATTCCAAGGCAATGTTCTGAAGAAATGAGCAGCCCCCAAATAAAATAATTCAATAAATATACAATAAATGAACATTGTGAGTGGGGACCAATAGAAATAAAAAAAAACCAGGTTCAGACCCAGACTTTACATGCTAGAATTATTAGACATATTATACCAAATAAGTATGTTTGATATAATTTAATAAATAAAATTAAGCCTTGAAAATATGACAAAAGAACAAGCAGACATGGAAAATATCAAACAACTTATAGAAAAGAAAAATATAATTGAAATGTAAAACTCAACAAATAGGTTTAACAAATGATTATATACAGCTAAAGGGATGACTGCAGATGTGGAAGACAGAAACAGAACTTGCCCAAAATACAGCCCAGTGAGATAAAGATTGGAAAATATAATACAGAAGTAAAAGGACATGGAAGATAGAATGAGAAGTTCTCTTAAATATTTAGTCCTAATTCTATGGGGTGAGTAAATAAGGGGAAAAGACAATATTCAAAGAACTAATGGAGAATTACTTTCTATAAATAACTTTCTGTAAACTAATAGAGTATTACTTCTATAATCCACAGGTTTGAGAAGTCAAAAAATTTCATCTATGCTAAGTAAAAAGAAATGTGCATCCAGAATCATTACAGTAAAATAATAATATGAAATATATTAAATATTAAAACATTAAATAATATGCTATATGTTATAACATGATGGAAGTCAAGGATATATAACTTTCAAACTGAAAGAGACAGAAAAGAATAGAAAAAAATTCAATACAGGAGCTGGGGTTGTGGCTCAGTGGTAGAGCACTTGCCCAGCACGTGTGAGGCACTGGGTTAAATAGGAAGGAAGGAAGGGAGGGAGGGAGGGAGGGAGGGAAGGAAGGAAGGAAGGAAGGAAGGAAGGAAGGAAGGAAGGAAGGAAGGAAGGAAGGAAGGAAGGAAGGAAGGAAGGAAGGAAGGAAGGAAGGAAGGAAGGAAGGAAGGAAGGAAGGAAGGAAATTGTGTCCATCTACAACTAAAAAAAAAAAAAAATCAATCCAGGCTGGGTGTGGTGGTACATTCCTGTCATCCCAGCAGCTAGGGAGGCAGAGGTAGAAGGATTGCAAATTTGAGCCCAGCCTGGGCACATTAGCAAGACCCTATCTGAATATAAAAAAATAAAAAGGATAGAGGTATGTAGCTCAGTGGTAGAGTACTTGCTTAGCTTGTGCAAGCCCTGGATTCAATCCCCAGTACCACACATACACACACAGAGAACAAAAGAAAAAGAGGCTCCTTGCTGCCAACATCTGCTGGGTTCTGTTGTTTCTTTAGTCCATCTTGTCTCCTCTGATACAACATCACACCCAAGAGCAAAAGATATTTAAGGTCAGGCTTTAAAATATCAAAGTTAGGACAATAGAGCAAAGCCACCATTTCTGGAGGAATGAAAAACAGATTGTCACATCTGTTTTTCATTCTTCCATTTCTGTTTGCCAGAAATGTTTCTGACAGGTGGGTGTGGTAGCTTACACCTGTAATCCCAGTGGCTAGGGAGGCTAAGGCAGGGGGACTGTGAGTTTGAACTGGCTTCAGCAACTTAGAGAGGTCCTAAGCAACCCAGCGAGACTCTGACTCCAAATAAAATATAAAAAGGGTTGGGATGTGGCTCAGTGGTTAAGCATTCCTGGGTTCAATCCCAGTACCAATAAATAAATAAATAAATGTTTCTGACATATAGGTCCATCATGCAGTGGGCTCAGATTCTCGCTGATTTTTGAATTGAGGGACTCAGAATTATCTTTATGGGCAATTATGTCAGCTCCCATTACCTTTCAAAAGGCAGGTTCCAGAGCGTGTGAAATTTGGCAGGAGTTGCTGTAGACCTTGGGGTCGAGTGTAGTTAATTTTTATGGGGAAATATGTGTAATCCATTGAGGTTTTCAAGTTTTCAGAACTGCAGAAAACGGCCATGCTGGCCTATGGATAGGAGCTGGTGATCAGGATGGTGCTGTGAGACCCAGATTTGTGGGGTACCCTAGTCCTACTTGTGAATGTCATTTTTAGACACTGTAGTAATCAGGGCTCTCCAGAGAAACAGGACCAATAGAGAATTGACTTCATTATTTATTATAATTTAGCTCACAATTGAGACTGAAAGTCTGGAGAATGGGAAAACCAATGGTCTGTCCCAGTCCAAAGCCTGAGAACAAGAGGAGTGTAAGTAACAACTCCCAGTCCTAGCCCAAAGGCTTGAGGATCTGGGTCCAAGAGGGGATGGAGATGGTAGTGTTAAGTCCCAGAACTTCAGTGGGCCAAGAAGCAGGAGCTCTTATGTTTGAGGGCAGGAAAATATGGATGTCCCAGTTCAAGAAGAGAGTAAATCCACCGGTACTCCACCTTTTCTTCAGTTCAGGCCCTTGGTGGACTGGAGGGTGCCCACTCACACTGGCCAGGGCTATCTTCTTTACTCCCATTCAAATGCTAATCTCTTCCTGAAACACTTTCATAGACATTTCCAGAAACAATGTGTTACCAGCTATTTATCTGGGTATCTCTTAGCCCAGTAAAGTTATTTCATTAAAACTAACCATTATAGATCCTTAGCAAATATAATTAACAAACAAGCAGATTACTCAACAGAGGCCTCAATTCCCACGTCTATAAGAGAAGTATAAAAACAGCCATTGCCCTAGACTGTGGAAAGGATTAAATAAGATATGTATGTCAAGTGCCTGGTACTTAGTGGTCACGTAGGAAAAGCAGCTACTGTCATGATGATTATTTTTGTTCATATAGCTCCATTTTTAGTTTGTTCAGACAGTTGAACATATTATAATTTACATTATAATAATAAATGTTATCCTCAGCAGACACGAACCTGTGGATCCAAGTAGTACCTGTTGCAGCTGGGAAGTCATTGCAGGATCTTGGTCCAGTGTTTGGCAACAGTTTGATCTGAAGATGGCAGTTTGGGTGATTTGGAGCAGCCTCAGCCTGCTGCGACTGCTATGGTGTCTTCTTCCGCAGACGGGCTACGTGCACCCGGATGAGTTCTTCCAGTCACCAGAAGTCATGGCAGGTAAAGTTCTCATGTGGTTAAGACAAGCAGCAGCTGAGTGGCTGAGAGGCTGATCGGCTATTTAGTGGGGAAAGGAAAGCACGTCTGTACAGGCTTGTACAGTAACTCCACAAGCAAAGCTGTTTTAGCCTCTCTGGGACAACAGCTTGGGAGTGGGGACTCACATCTTCTTCCTGAGTGGCAACACTGACCTTCTGGATGATACTGATGAAACACCAGCCTCTTTGATGTTTTCCTGCTTGGACCAACAGGTCATTCAGAATGAAAGCTATGATGGACTCCTTAACGGAAGGATGAGAGTTGGGCTTTCCCAGTGTCTGGGGAAGCTTACACAGAGTTGTGATCCGAGAATATGAAAAATTTCCCACTGTAGTTCAAGGAAGGAGAGAGGGAACCCAGACATGGGATACTCACTTGTTAGAACTTATCCACTAGGGGCTGGGGATGTAGCTCAGTGGTAGAGCACTTGCCTAGTATGTGTGAAGCCCTGGGTTCTATCCCAGCACTGCAGAAAACAAACAAAACCAAAATCTACTAGGTGGTGAAAGGTATATCAAGAGGATGGTTGCCAGGGTCTATGAGGACTTTTGGATGCTATCAGTGTGTGACTTCCTCCTCGTGGTTCAAGACGGAACTTTCAAATCTAAAACTGTCTTTCTAGCAAACAGGAAATGGACATGCCTACTCCCTCTAAGGTCACATTTTGTAAATCATATGCTTTTTGTCCATTTCCATCCCACTGGTCAGACACTTGACTACACTTAGTTGCAAAGGAAGCTAGGAAACAAAGTTTTTGTATCTGATTAAGTGTTCAGCTAAAGACACTAAGACAGGAAGGGGGATTTGCTATCTCTGCCACATGAATCAGTAGGTAGATTTGGATTTTAAATTGAAAATTTTGGTCTTATGTCCTAAGTGTTTTTTTAAACCTGAATTGTATACAGCAGCTGGATTGACTTGACGCTAGATTTTCTGTTTCCCTTTCACCTTCTGATATAGATCAAATGGCCAAAAGACTGGAGGAATAAGTAGCAGAAGCAAAGAGCCTGAATGATCCCCAGGCCATATAATCAGCTCTAACAGCCAGCAAGGTTATCAAGCATGAAATGCTATGGACAGTGGGGTTTGGACTAGAGATGCAGAAATTAAAATTTGTTCCCTTACCCCAAACAATGAGCTATGGAACACTGGGGAACAGGGTCACAGATCAACCTCAAGCAGCAAGTATTTTTGAAATTATATAAATACTGCTTGAATTCCTTTTTCTTGTAAAAATTTAAGTATCATAAACAAAACTAAGATTATATTTTTCCATAACCCTTATTGTCTGTTCTCTGTCCCTACACTCACAACCTCTTTTCCTGACAAAAATCTTTCTTAGAGATGAGTTCTGATCCTAGAAATATTAAAAAAGGAATGAAGTCTCCCCTGCTCCCTACCATACCCTTGCGGGGTACACTGTCACCTAATCTCCCAAGTACTGTTCCCTTTGTCTCCAACAGAGTGTGGCCTCAACCACCTTGAGTTCCTCTATATTAGTTTCTACTGCTGTATGACAAGCCATCACAAACCTAGCAGTTTAAAATTACAGTTTGAAATTAAATTATTAGTTTGCAGTTTTGTAGATCAGAAGTCCAGCATTGGGATCTTTGCTCAGGGTGTCACAAGGTTGAAATCAAGGTAAGGACTAGACTGAGTTCTTTTTGTTTTTTCTTTCAGATTTTTAAAATAGATTTTTATTTTTTAAAAAAGTTAATTGAACATTACAAGAAAAATAAAAACACAAGCAAAGAACAAAGTCATCCAGTCACAAGCAGCTTAGTTGGATGTGTCCCTCTAGGTTGTGTGCGTATATACACAATATCCCATTTTGTGTGACTGAGATCGTAGTGTATCATGCTTTTGGACTGAGTTCTTGTCTGGAAGCTCTGAGGAAATATCTGCTTCCAAGCTCATTCTTGTTGACAGAATTTAATTCACTTCAGTTATGGGACTGTAGTCCCTTGCTCTTAATTTCTGGAGGCTGCCCACCCTCCTTGCCAACAGCCCCTTCCTTCTTTAAGCCAGTAGGGGCATATCAATGCTTTGAATCTCTGCTTGCTTCTTCTGTATCCAGCTGTAGAAAATTCTTTGCTGTTAAAGGGCTGCTGTGATGAGGTCAGGCCCATCCAATAGTCTCCTGTTTCAGTCAGTACTCCCATATAACCTAACCTAACCTAACCACAGGAGTAAAATCTACACTGTACTAGTCCAAGGGGTACAAGAAATGTCCACTAGAGGGTGGGGAGTTTAGGGTGCCATCCTAGAATTCTGCCCAGAGCTGGAAACTGGCTCACCTCCGCCTCTTTCTCTGCAGAGGACATCCTGGGCGTGCAGGCTTCACGGCCCTGGGAGTTTTACCCCAGCAGCTCCTGCCGCACGGTGGTCTTCCCACTGCTGACCTCTGGCTCTGCCTTCTGGTTGCTCAGGCTCTGGGAAGAGTTGGGACTGTGGCCTGGCCTGATGAGTGGCTATGTGCTGCTGGTAGGGCCCCGACTCCTCCTCACCACCCTCTCCTTTGCCCTGGATGGGGCTGTGTACCACCTGGCCCCGCAGTGGGGGGCAGATCGCTGGAACGCCCTGGCCCTGCTGTCTGGTTCCTACGTCACCCTGGTTTTCTACACAAGGACCTTCTCCAACACCATCGAGGGACTGCTCTTCACATTGCTGCTGGTGCTGGTGTCCCCTCATGTGGCATGGAGCCCCACATCCAAGAAGCCTACCTCATGTCCATGGTGGTACAACTGGCTTCTTGGGGCCATCGTGGCTGCTGGCTTCTTCAACCGGCCCACCTTTCTGGCCTTTGCTCTGATCCCCCTCTTCGTCTGGGGCACTTGTGGAGTCAAGGACCCTGGCTTCAAGTCCCTGATCTGGGAAGCTCTGGTGCTGCTCCCTGGGGCAGCACTCACTACAGTAGTATTTGTGGCCATGGACAGCTGGTACTATTCCAGCATCTCAAGATCCAGTAGCCTTGTCCTTACACCTGTCAACTTTTTACAGTACAACCTGGATCCCCAAAACCTTGCAAGGCACGGCACACATGTGCGACTCACTCACCTAGTAGTCAATGGCTTCCTGCTCTTTGGGGTGCTACATGCCCAGGCACTACAGGCTGCTTGGCAACAGTTGCAAGTCAGCCTCCAGGTGTTCGCACAAATGGGCCTCCAGAGGGCCCTACGGGCCCAGAGCCTGCTGTCCAGTCCCAGGTCTTACCTCCTTCTCCTCTACTTCACGCCCCTGGCCCTGCTGTCTGCTTTTAGCCACCAGGAGGCTCGATTCCTGATTCCCCTCCTGGTCCCCCTAGTCCTGCTTTGTAGTCCACAAACCCAACCTGTGCCTTGGAAGGGGACCCTGGTCCTCTTTAATGCCCTAGGTGCCCTCTTCTTTGGCTGCCTGCATCAGGGAGGCCTGGTACCTGGCTTAAAATACCTGGAACAGGTGGTCCATGCACCTGTGCTCCCAGGCATGCCAACCCACTACACACTCCTTTTTACTCATACCTACATGCCCCCCCAGCACCTCCTCCACCTCCCAGGCCTGGAGTCATCTGTAGAGGTGGTGGACATGGGTGGAAATGAGGACTGGGTACTTTGCCAAGCACTTAACAACCTTACCAGACAACCAGCTTGCCATGTGGCTGGTGGGCCATGGCTCTGCCGCCTCTTTGTGGTGACCCCTGGGACGACCAGGCATACCGTGGAGAAATGCAGCTTTCCCCTCAAGAATGAGACACTCATGTTTCCCCACCTGACCCTGGAGGACCCACCAGTCCTGTCCTCTCTGCTGAGTGGGGCTTGGAAGGACCACCTTAGTCTTCACATCATGGAACTGGAGCAGCCACTGCCCAAGATTCAGCTATAGAATCTATGCTACTCCACCTTGTATGAAGGCAGCTGGGCTGTGACATTGCCATAGGGCCCTGGTCCTCCTTCAGGATCCCCACTGCTGCCTCTTCTGGGCTCAGCCATTGGTTGTTCTGCCCTCTGGGTAAGCCCATTCCCTTTTCCTTCAGACACCAAAGATCTGACCAGTCATGGTTCTGCTGCCAAGGTCCCAATAATCCTGGTATAATCAATGGCACCTAATGTCTGTTCCTGCCCTATGCCTTCCAGCCACTGTAATGTTTTAAATATACAATAGTACCTGATTGTGAAAAGACAATGCACTGCTAATCATGTTCCTGAATGACCTTTCCCAAACTTGCCACAAAGCTTTACCTCTTTGGTCTCCTAAGGACTGGCATGTTGAGGCCTTGCAGACACATGAGAGATTATGGTGAAGGAGAGAATAAGTGGCTCAGATTCAGGGATCCAAGTTCTAGTTCCTGGTCTGCTACTCAGTGACTTTTGAGAAGGCCCCTTCTATTCATCCAGCCATCTTCCAATCTGTACAGATAAGAGAATCCCTGAGATGTCTGTCAGATAATATCATTCTTGGAACCCACAGCACATGTCCCCTGGATCAACAGGCATGTTTCTCACAAAGCTCTTTGAACATGGAATGGTATTGTATTTAATGGCACTTTGTGTCTGCTCTCTCAATGTTTGGTCATTACCAAAACAAGTCATTCTGGAAAAATTTTCCAGCACTGTCTTCTACTTCTGTCCTTGAGAGGTGGTGGGAAACTCTCCAGCCATTTCTACATCTTACCCTTAAGAATCATTCTCCCAGAAGCTTCAGGCATAGCTTAGTGATACAGTGACTGTTTAGCAGGCTGGAGGCCCTGGGTTCAATTCCCAGCACACCCACAAATTATTCTCCCACAATCCTGTATCTGAGGCCCTCAGTCTGCCCCAATGGAAACTGAGAATACACAATGCTTTATCAGTATCTGTAACCAGTCTAAAACTTTTCCTATGGCTTCAAACTTTCTAGGTTGCATGATTAACTGTGTAGCTTAAGTAGACAAGATCAGAAATTTTGCTTGAAGCCTCAAAGTGACAGTATTTCCCACAGGAGAGGCAGTATATTCATGCCTAGTGGTACTGAAGAAGGCAATTCCTAAGAAGTAAGGTAAATGCTGCAGAGAGCTGTGATTAAGGACATAGGTGCCTGTTGTCAAATACCTATGCTGACACCCCATTCTGCCAGGCTTTGGGGAGTTGAGAAGTGGCCCCCATTTCCTCATTATGAATGTGCTTGTAAGGAGTTAGATAAATCACAGAATGCAATTAGCAAGTGCCAGCACAGAACAGCATTCAATGTGTTAACCATATTACCATGAGCCTACAATCCCCAGGATTCCCAATCTATCTTGTCAGAGAAGTACCACATTCATGCCTTTTAATCAGCTCACACATTTAATCAGAGAATTTGGCAGCTGCAAGGTTGTCTTTCAATCCACGATCTTCTCTGGAATTAGTACCTGGCTGTACCGGTGCAGCCGCAGCAGCATCTACCAAGAATTCTAGTTCCATTTGCAGAGGACAGGCGCTCTTTCTGGATGTGTGTCCATGGCTCTCTGTGTTATACCTGGGTCCAGCCTACCTGTGAGTCTTTAAAAGCTTTCTCCACATTGTACCCTGCTCAATCACGAGATTTCGACGAAGATGTCGGTTTGGGCCAGAGCTCTTAAGAGCCGGACGTCTGAAGGTCGATAATCTGAATCAGGATTCGAAGCTGTGAGCAGGGCCTGGGAGGACTGCTTAACGCCAAGGTCGGTGTACCACACAAATGGGAAAGTAGGCGACCTCGGACCATCCCAGTCCAAGCTTACGAGTTTGCCCCGGGGCCCCTATGGTTATCTGGTGGTGGCCGCGGGCGGTCCCGGAGACCACGACGTAGCTCCTGGGTAAAAGTGTCTCTGAATCGCGCAACGCGGCGGCCAAGGGAGCTCACGGGCTCGGCAGCGACTTTCCGTAGGCGGCGGGCCGCGTCCTGGCCGCGCAGCTGCGCTTGCAGCAGTGCGAAAGCAGTGAGCTGGGCCGCACGCCGGATGGGCCGCGACTCTGACAGACGTTCCACCAACTGCGGGCTGTGCAGCAGAGCAGCCAACAGACGCCGGAGAACCATCCTTTTCTGAGCACCCCGGAACCGGGAACACGCCGTTCTCGCCTTCCGATCGGCCGCGTCAGACGACGGACCACGTGTGCGCCCGAGTGATGACGACACTGCCGCGCTGGGATTGGATCTGACGACTTCCACTTTCTGCTGCCCTCCGCCCGCTTCCGCTTCCGCCAGAGCCGCGGCACTCCGGTTGATCCCTGAGTTGCGCGTCCTTGCCGACCTCTCTGCACTATGTCGGGTGGCCTCCTGAAGGCGCTGCGCAGCGACTCCTACGTGGAGCTGAGCCAGTACCGGGACCAGCACTTCAGGGTGAGGAGAGCCGTGCCGCGAGAGGGTCAAGCCCTGGGCCAGAACGCTGAGGAACGGTTTGCACTTGTCTCACTGTGTCGTCTCGCATTCTGCTTGGTGTCCTGAAATGTGAAGTGGGGTCCTAGTGCCTGCTGGGAAGCAGGGGTCGGATGCCTGAAGGGCGTTTGGGTTTCACTGAAGCCACTTTGATAGAAAGGAAATATCAGACTCGCTTTCTCATTGCCTTGCAGCTGCTGCCTGTATCTGGGCCAGTGCAGAGGTTCGAGCGGCAGAGTGGTGGCTTGTTTTCACAGGCTGTGCCTGGGAAATTGTGATGACAGGAATGGGGTTCCCTATTCACTCCCAGGGTATGTGGAGGCGCATTATCCAGATACCGGTGCTTTTTATTATTATTATTTATTTTTTTTTAAAGTCAACCGATGCCCTTTGGCGCTCCGAATCTTTTCTTTCTTTAGTACGATTATTCAACAAAATTCTCCATTTTGGGTGGGAGACATGGAGGCCTCCGAGTGGAGAGAGGGGATAGCCATCCTAAGTACGTTGATAACTGGATATCAAGATCAGATAATTGCTGGATTTCAGAAGAGGGAAATTTTAGTTTAGGGTATGTCACAACATTCTGTGGAAAGGGGAGAGGGCTGCAGGTAATCTTTTCTGAATTAGTAAAGGTGGGGGTGGGATTGCGTGCTCTGGCCACTCAACCTAATTATTTAATGGGGATTAGACCTAGGGGTGCTTTACCACTGACCTACTTCTCCAGCCCTGTTTAAATTTTTTTGAGGGGGGGGGGCTGGTGTCTCTGCGTTGCCCAGGCTAACCTCGAACTTGAGATCCTCCTACAGGTGTGCGCCAACTCACCCTGCAACTCAGTTATTTCATAAACGCTTACCCGGTGCTGTTGTCAAAGCATTCCTCTGAGCCCCAGGAGGGATGGGGGAAATGCAGTTTCTGCATCCTAAGAACTCAAACCTCTAGTAGGGATTGTAAATGGAGGCAAATAAAATCTAAAGGAGAAACCAGGAGTAGAGAGGGACAGGTTTTAAGCATTCAGAAAAGGAGACATTCCCCTTGCAACTGGGAAGGGAAGTGCATATAAGAGAAGGTAGGTGTGTAGAATGTGTTTGTACCTGGTACCGGGAATTTGAGGCCAAATTGAAGACACTCTTACATTTCAGTTTTAAAATGCTATGCGCCAGGCAGGGTGAGGTGGTGCACACCTGTGATTCCACCAATTTGGGAGGCTGAAGCAGGAGGATCCCATGTTTGAGGCAGCTTCAGCAACTTAGCAAAGACACTGTCTCAAAATAAAAAATAAAAAGGGCCCCTGCTTAGTGCCCCTGGGTTCAACCATCCCCTACAAAACAAAACACCAAAACGTGCCAAGCATGATTTTTACTTCTGCAACTTTTACAGTTCTTATTAGTTCCACATCATGACCATCTTGTGTCAGCATCTATCCTACAAGATTAAAATTGAAAGGGTTCATTTCTACAATCTGAAGTCTACTATTTTAGATGTAGTATATTGTCATGTGGAATATCTAGGGTACCCTAAATGGAATCCACATTAATATCATACCTTAAATATACCACAGTTGTTTTAATTAAGATATAGACTCCGCGCCAATTCTCCCGAAACCCCAGTGAGAACTCTATGGGAACTCCAAAGTAGGGGGCACCCGAGGCAGCAGGATCTGCCCTAATCCTGGAGCTGCCCTAATCCCAGAGCAGGGTCACCTTTCAACCATTCCCTCTAGCAAAATGCCAGGCGTCATTCCGACTAAACTGTGGCTCTCAACAATCTGGATCAGAAGGGTCTGAGAATAGGTCTACTGATTGGCCTTCTGTTTAATCACATTTGTCCTCAATGTGTCAATTCAGCATCTAAAGTATCAATGTCTCACTCATGATAAGCCATCTTGTCCCCAGGGATTGTCAGGTGTATTGACTAAAGCTCATACTTCTGTCTCAGGATTCATCCTGTCTTCAAATTAGAAAGCCTGTTAAGAAAGTGCTAGGTGTGGTGGCCCACATCTGTAATCCCAGCTACTTCAGAGGCTGAAGCAGGAGGATTACAAGTTGAAGGCCAGCCTGTCTCAAAATGAAAAGGGCTGGGGATGTCTTTCAGTGGTATAGTGCCCATGGGGTTCAATATCCAGCACTGAAAAAAAAAAATTTCTCCTACGCTCAGAAGAAAAAAAATACATGAGCATATAAATTATTAAAGCAGTTGTTGTTTTGGATAGTCTCTATGGGAATATTACCAGGGGAATACTAGCTCTAGAAATAATAATTATTATTTTTTACTACAGAGGATAAATGGCACCTTTCTAATATAATGGGTCAAGGTCTGGAATTTAGACTTGGGCCATTAGCGAAGGATCCAGTGCTCAGGACTTCAGTATGCAAGAAAAAAGGCATGCTACTTGTACATAGCCTGGGGCAGGAGAGAGGGAAGGCTGAAAGCCTTTTCTCTCCATTAAAAGCAGTCTGGATCTCATATAAGTCCTTCACAGAATGTGAATACCTCCTGCACCACCCCTCCTTTTGACAAGGTATTTGCAGTATTTGGTGGGCGAGAGAATCTGATTTCTTTTTTCTTTTCCCCTGGGTACTGGGGATTTAACTCAGGGGCACTCAACCATTGAGCCACATCCTCAGTCCTATTTTTTTTTTTTTGTATTTTATTTAGAGACAGGGTCTCACTGAATTGTTTAGTGCCTTGCTTTTTGCTGAGGCTGGCTTTGATCCTCCTTTTTCAGCCTCCCAAGCCACTGAGATTACAGGCATGCACCACCATGCCCAGTGAGAATCTGATTTCTAAATAAGAATTAATGATTCCCCCAACTCATGCTGAGAATTGAACCCAGAAGTGCTCTACCAGTGAGCTAAACCCAGCTTTTTTGAGACAGGGTCTCACTAAGTTGCACAGGCTGGCCTAGAACTTGCAATCGTCCTGCCTCAGCCTACTCAGTAGCTGGAATTACAGGCATGTACCATCACATTTGGCCTCGGACATTATTTTAAAAACCATACTTAGGAATATTATTTAAGCAAGGCTTTTTTTTTTTTTTTTTTAAGTTGCAATGTTTGTCTCTGAAATTCTAGGGTGACAATGAAGAACAAGAAAAATTACTGAAGAAAAGCTGTACATTGTATGTTGGAAATCTTTCTTTTTACACAACTGAAGAACAAATTTATGAACTCTTCAGCAAAAGTGGTGACATAAAGAAGATAATTATGGGTCTGGATAAAGTAAAAAAAACAGCATGTGGATTCTGTTTTGTGGAGTATCCTTCCTGGTGTCTAATGTAACTGTTGAACCAAGGTAGAGCTCAGAGTGGTTGGCTGCCTGTTTTTGAAAAACTGTATATTAGCTTTATCCCTATGCTTGTCTGTACCTTTTCTTCCATTTGTCTACATTCGGATGCTGTGAAAACTGGTAATTTTGTGTTCTATTCTGAATTCATGTTTTGTTTTCTGGTACTGGGAATTGAACCCAGGACCTCGCACACTGTATGCCAGCTCTCTATCACTGAGGTATATCACAGCCCTATCAGCTTTTTTAAGTCTCTGATCATTAGCTAATGGCCTTCTCATGTATGCTTCTTTCCTATCATTTTAATGGGATCTTGAGAAGAAAGAATGCATTCATTCTTATCAGCTTAAACCAGAAGTCCTGCTTCTGAACCCATTCTTCACTTTTTTTTTTTTTTCAAGTTAGAGCTCCCTATGTTGCCAAGGCTTTCTCAAACTCCTGGGCTCAAATGACCTTTGTGCCTCAGCTTATGAGTAGCTAGGACTACAGGTGTGTACCCAGCCCCACTTGGATTTTTTTTTAAAGTTGCAATGTTTGTCTCTGAAATTCTAGGGTGACAATGAAGAACAAGAAAAATTACTGAAGAAAAGCTGTACATTGTATGTTGGAAATCTTTCTTTTTACACAACTGAAGAACAAATTTATGATTTCTGATTTCTGGGCCAAGCAAGCTTTTCAGTTCTCTCTCCAAACACAAGGGTCCAGTTTTCTCAGGTTTTGTTTTCTGGTAGCAGTGGCACAGAGTCATTCATGGGGAAAACAATGAAAAAACAAAAGGCTCCATCTATAAATTAGTAGGTAATCAGTCTAAGGATCAGAGTGTTTCCATTTGCCTTATAGGTCAAAGGTCAACAATCATGATGGAACGTATCAAAGAGACTGCTAGTGCTAGTTGTTTTTCTCTAGCATTTATTTCATTCATTTAACAAAGATTACTGAATGCCTACTATGTTCTAGGCATTATATAGGTGCTAGACACGAATTCTACCAAGTGTTTCCCTACTTGTGTAAAGATGAGAAAAAAGTCTAAATCAGCATTTCCCAAACCCAGCTGTTAATCAGAATTGCTTTTATTTTTTTATTACTACTTTTTAAAATATATTTTTTAGTTGTTGGTGGACCTTTATTTTATTTATTTGTATGTGGTGTTGAGAATTGAACCCAGTGCCCCACGAATGCTAGGCAAGTGCACTATCACTGAGCCACAACCCCAGTCCTCAGAATTGCTTTTAGAGATTTTAAAAAATACCATGTAGGGTAAAACTGATTAAATGTTTGGGAACTCCTAACCTGGTTAATACTTTGAAATTTTTCCATCTAGTGAAATGTAGTGGTACTTCCATACACACTGTGACCTCTTTTTATGAAGATTGTTCTTTAATATCAGCACCCAATTTGGATGCCAGTTCTTGGATAAGAAGTGCATAGTTTGTGGTTTAAACCTGCAGTGAACATATTTTATAAAATTTTGCAACTCAAAATACGGAGACAAGGCTGAGGATATTGCTCTAGTGGTAGCTTGCCTGGCATGCACAAGGACCTGGGTTTGATTTCCAGCACCACATATGCAAAAAAAAAAAAAAAAGGGATTGACCAAATAAATATTAATAGGGATAGCCAGGAAATCATAACCAAGATAGCCCTACATAAGTATTATATTTTCTTTACCTAAGTGCTTTTGGACCAGTAGGCTTGTGTAAGCTGAATAGTCTTTGAACTTCATCTGACTGGATTTGTTTTTGTACTTTTTCCTTAACAATTCAGGTTCATTTAGATGCTTCCCAAACATTTGGAGAAATGCAATGTTCCTTAACACTTAAACTTAAGATACTATTCAAGAGCAGATGCAGAAAATGCCATGCGGTATATAAATGGAACACGTCTGGATGACCGGATCATTCGCACAGACTGGGATGCAGGTTTTAAGGAGGGCAGGCAGTATGGACGTGGGCGATCAGGGGGCCAGGTATGCAGTCTTTGGACCAAACCCTGCCTAGGATTCTAGTCATAATGATAGTTGTTTTTTCGAACTGTTTTTACTCTTTTTCTAATTTCTGCCTATAACCCTGGAGAAAACCACCCATTGGTTTTGGTGAAATTTTTTAAACCTTGAAATAGCATATGCTATTCATTTCAATAAGCACTTGTTGTTGAACTTCTGCTAGGGGCTAGGTATTTCACATCTGTGTCTAGAACGAAAGCAAAATACACTGAAATGGGTTTGTCTTAAGAGTCTAATACAGGGGTGTACCCTCAGTGGTGGGGCACTTGCCAAGCAAGTGTGAGGTCCTAGGTTCAGTCCCCAGTACCATATGCACACACCAAACAAACCCAAAACCAAACCCCAAAATACCACAGAACCTAATACACAGGTTTGTCTGCATGTTCATATGACATCTGAAAAGGTTCAGCTATTTGTCTGACATGTTGTGGGCAGTGCATGTTATACCAGTCTTCTCTATATTGTACTTTGTGTATTCTTTTTTACTTAAGGTTCGAGATGAGTATCGACAAGACTATGATGCTGGGAGAGGTGGCTATGGAAAACTGGCACAAAAGCAGTGAGTGGTGAGAGCCCCATCAGTGCGAAATTCCCTCCACTGGCCTGTTGTTTGTTGAAGAACATTACCCACAGTCTGATCAATGTCTCTACTGAGCTAGAAGCCTTTACATGGTTTCCTCTGAAAATTATTAAAGGACAATACAAAAGAATGCCTTTAATTCTAGTCTTAGAATATTGGTCATGTGTCAAGTTACCAGATGATTTTCTGTTACCAGGTCTAAAATTGTGTTCTCTGGGGATGTGGCTCAGATACAGTGCCTACTTCACATGTGCAAGACCCTGGTTTGATCCCCAGAAACATCCACCCACCCCACCCCCCACAAAGTGTTCCTTAGCAACAGGTCTGATTTATAATGTTGATTATTCTGTCGGCCAAAAATGCCACACTTTTTAAAGGAAGATGGAAAAATGTAAAAACTTGTTTTACCATGTTTGTGTCTTAAGTAGGTTCATGATCTTCATTGGGGCCTGGAATGATTATTTTTTAAAATTTAAGTTTGCATGAGATAAAGTTTAATAAATGGAATTTTGCTGTGTGGTATGGCTTTGTTCTAAATTAGCAACAGGTGTTTGACAACTGAATAGAATTCAACATTGAAAACAAATTCAATCTCTAAAGGGTCAAGGGACTTTCCTAAATAGTTGGCATAGAAGTAAGTAAACCTGAGATGGTCTCAGGGACATGTCCCGCTTCTATTCCTTACATATTCAGAAACTAGGTACAGGGTTTGAAGAATTATACACATTTTTCAAAAGATGTTTTACCTAAAGCTAGCAACAACAAGAAGTAAGGATTTGTAATAGAGAACCTCACATATTCTAGTGGGTGTGGTGAGTGGGGGAAGACGCTATTAGTAGGAAATGTAAGTTAAGGGATTGCCTTGACATGACAAAGTATGCTGTAAGGGCCATCAGATTTATTCTTTCCATTTTAATTAGTCTTGGGAATAGAATGGGTTCTTTTTAGAAGAGCTTGATGATTGAGAGAATACTTTACAAAAACAGAGGAAGGCTTCCTAAAGAAAGTGTCTATTTCAGCTACTTCTCATACTGAAATGTTTTATTTTTCCCAAATTGTCCATACTGTGGCTCAAGCCAGGGGATTAGAGAGAATTTATTTTACATTTGTAAGGCAAGAGATTATTTCTGATATTATATGTGAGTATAATTTTCCCTGATATGAAAAAAATGTGAATTATTTTTCAAAGTATCTTCCAGTAGTTTGTGAAAATTGGGGCTGAACATGAACAGCTTTCATGTTACAATAAATGTGGGTTTTCTCATTAAATTCCAAACTGTTTGAATTTTTTATAAAGAGGTATAACAGTTGTTAGTGCTTAGGAATAAACCATTTGCAAACATTTAATCAGGACACAGTATTCATTTTTAGAATGTTTTTACACTGTAGTTTAAACTAATATTTTGTATTCTTGTGTGGTGAAAAAACTCAGATTCTACAGGCCTTAAAACCAAAGACTGTGATTCTTATTTGAATTGTCTTCTATAACAGATTTCAATAAAGCTGGACCAACTTATTATCTTGGCCTCTTTCCTCACCTATAAAAAGGGACTTGTTCTAGAACTCTTTTACTCTGGGCTGTCTGTAAATGAGTTTGGGGAGACTCTGAATAAATATGCAAAATTTACATGTTCATTTCAATATGACATTTGTATCTAGTTATGGCTTCACGTGAAGAAAGAACATGGACATTCTTATGAAAACAATTTAGCATTGAATTAAGGGAACCTGATGTTTTTTAGGCTTGAGGATGCTAAATGAGCTTTCTTTGTGTCCTCTTTCCTATTTCTCACTTTAATCAGAAAAGTATCTCATTTTAATCAGAAAAGTGAGAACTAGGACATATATGCTAGGTAGGTTATGGAATATAATAGTGGGGGAGTGCCAGATATAGCCAGACTGGGATGTATAGAATTATTTGGGAATTACATTATTAGCTAAAGTGTAAAACATGCAACTTGCTTTAGAGTTCTTCAATCCAATGTAATAGCCCCTGGCCTAATGTGGCTGTTTAATAAAAATAAAATTAAACATTCAACTTCTCAGTTACACTAACCACATTTTAAGTGCTTAATAGACAATGTGCTAGTGATTGTTATAGTAAATGAAAACAACATTTCCATCATTGCAGAAAATTCTGTGGGACAGTGGTGCTCTAAGGGTAGGCTGCTTAGGGCCTACACTGGTCACTGTTCTTAAGCCTTGTTATGACTGGAGTGTATTAAAGGAAAACATACTACTCACCAAGCAGTACACTTATCCAACACAAGAGAATGAGTTTATAAAGGCATTTAGTTTATTTTTCAAAAAAATACTTTGCTAGAAGGGTTGAGTACTGTAATTTTACATGATCATAATCTTTTTAAATTCTTTTCTGACCAACAAGTACCATTTAAGTGAACAACTTGTCTAGGTCTGCTTTTGTAACACCCAATACAATTAGTACTTCTCTGATGGTATTCCCTAGGTCTTAATTATCTGTAGGCCAGGAGGCACAGCCTAGCACATAGCAAAGTATGTGCTTTATAACTGCCAATTAACTTGGTTTCTTTAATATGATTAAGGAGAACAGGTAACTGGCATATCGAATTCAACTATAAATTTACCATTTCTTGCCTGAAAGGTTGTGAATCTCCCAGACCCCTCTCCCCCCACCAATTACTTAACCCAGGGAAGCAGTGAACTACAACTGTAGAGGAAAAAGGGCAATATATCAGGTGAGTGCCGGCTGTTTCCCAGTTAGATCTGTTATTGTTTTGTTCCAACTATAAACTCAAGATGACCATGTTACTCATATTCAACAGTAAATAGAAAATACAAGGCAAAGCCAAAAATATGTGGGGATTACTGGCAACAACTGCTTCCTTTTTCTTCCTTAAAAAGGCTAACTGAAAGTTGATTCTCTCTGATTCTTGATAAAACTAAAAGATGCATTAAATATATGTTCACTGCTACAGATTTAACAAAAAGAAAGGCCACCAGAATGAAGCAACTATAACCTGGTAAATTTGCCCATAGAGACAACTAGATAGCTGGTTGAAGGCTTGTCATAAATTGTTCTTTTGTGCAAGGTCTGCACTCAGCCCCCAAACCATAAGATCTGTCTTGTGGGCAGCCAGACAGTTCAGTGCCAGGCCAGTGATGGTAACTCAACGCTTTTCACCAACAGCCCAGAAGTGTTTCAAAAATGCCTTTGTTGCAAGGAAGCAATTACTGCAAACATCAGGACAAAAGACTATCTAGGACTTTAGCTAAATAGAGGTTTATATCTAATTACAAGAAGTAAAAGCAATTAAGTGTGATGAAACCAAGTTTCATGATTGACAGAAACATTTTAAAAACAGACTTAAAATATTCAACTTTAGGCTAAACCATGCCAGGTACCTCAGGATGCCCTATGATGTTGGAAGTGAAAGAGTAACTAGATATGGACAGCTCACTTAAGGTCTCTGTGATCATTCCTGCATGCCCCAGTGCTGATAATAATGATCATATTTCACACTGGAGGAAGTGTGGCAACTCAAGCTCTGGGCATTATGATTCTTGTAGGAGGGCTAGGCATGTGGCTCAGTGGTAGAGCACTTGCCTAGCCCACAGGAGGCCCTGGGTTCAATCCCCAGCATTGCCAAAAGAAAAAAATTCTTTGTTTTTGCAGAAATTTTTCTCTTCTGCATGGTGTGTCTGTCAGTGGGGAAATGAGATACTCCCTCATTCTGAAGTATGAGGCATTTGGAGTCAATAGGCTAGTTACTTACTGGTTACTTTGCAACAACCCCACAAAAAAAAAAAAAAGCAAATGTCTCATATACATTTTGAAAGATCCCATGTTTGCATAATTATGTCTGGAAACCTTAAGACAACATCTCCACACTATAAATTCTCATCTTCCCTTATGGTGACACAACCTTACCTCTAGTAGCATAAAGTGCCTCTACTCCCAGTATTTAACAAAGTAAGAAATAGTGACCTGCTTTTATACTAAGGAATTTGAGTCTGGAGGAATTGGGAGAGGCTGCTTCCCAGTGTCAACACTGGTTTACATGCATGTGCATGTAAACAGTCTGACTCAACCCTCAACTGCTGGCAGTCAGCCTTGTTTCAATCATAACTTACAGCGAAGTTAAAGTATTTTAGCTTTTTCTTTTCAACACACACCTAACCAGGCATAAATTCGAGTATCTTCTGCCATTTTTTGGGTAGTTTTCTGAGTAAACATTTGAATCTGTTACCAATATATTTTCCTCCTCTAGTTCAGAAAAGATAATTGGATAGTTTTACATGTATCCTTCCTTATTTCCTTTCCTTTCAATTATGTCACAAAAGGCCAGATAAAAGATCTAAGATCCATTACTTTCATCTCAGTGCAGCTAACTATAAGGAAAGGGACCACATTACAGCCTGTCCCCTGAAGATAGAGGATCAACAGAAGGGAAACAAGTAACTCCCATGCTAAAATGTCAGGATTAGTTGTGCAGAAGCCAAGTGAGCCCTGAACGAGGGGAGATCACTACAGAGGAGGGAAACAATTCTATTACTGCACTCCTTGGGAACCAAGTTTTCTTTATTATCTTCCCTCTTCTCCCCATGCATCTGCAAAAGAAGTCAGCCTTCAATTTTGAATGTTCATATTTCAGATACACTAGAAATAGAAATGTATTAAGTAAATCTTAAATTCTCCCATATGGGAGGCAACACAAGGAAAATAGCAACTTAAAAATTACTTCTCAAAAGGCTGAATATCTCATTTGTTTGACTACTGGTCTGACAAGACACCAAGCTTTTTCATAGGTCAAAATCAGAAAAACAGGTTATTAAATAAATGTCTCATTATAAGATTTAGGCTATGCATTATAATTCCTAAGACCAGGACTGAAATCTCATTTGATAAGGTATCTGGCCCCAGTCACTGCCTTTTTCTCATACTTTAATCAACTCTTCCAAAGTAGGCTCTTTGCTTGCAAGTGGGCCTCCATGGACAGAACACACCCATCACTTTACAGCGAACTTCCATCTCACCCTTCAAAAGGAATGCATTTCATTTTCTAGGACTCCCTTGGAGAGGGAAGTAAGTAAAAGGTGCTGCTGGTAAAAGTAAAACAGAACTGGCTTTGTCAAAACCTCTCCTAGCTACCCTTTATGTCCCAGGGAACACTGACTACTCCGAGTTATACTGAATCAAAAAACATTTGCATTTTTAGGTTCTGAGATTAAATTTTAAACCTGTATTCAGTTCACGCTAACTAAGTTTCAAAAGCTGCACCAAATCTACTAGGCTTTTTTTTTTTTTTAATACTCTTCACTGCATGCTCTGTCTATATGCATGCGTTTGGATAATAAATATTAAATATGGGAGGGACGCGCGGAATCCATAAAATTAAAAATGAAACCAAACTGAATATTAAAAAAGTACATGGTAGTTGGAGAAATGAATAAGGGCAAAAAATAAATTTGAGGTAACAATAGTGGCCCAACACCACTGATCTGAATATCTGTAAAAATTCAAATGAGTGTTTGGAGATTCAAGTAACAAACCATCTGTTCCAACTTGGTCAGACTTGCAGAGCACTGCTGAGTCAGTCCAGCAGCCGGCACTCACACAGCTCCTTGTAAATTCTCTTCCGCACACGGGGCATGTCTTCTTGAGAAAACTGGAAAGGCTGCTCTAAAGCGAGGCACTTGCAGTACTGCAAAGGTCCCAGAAACATGTAAATGGCACATGGGGTTGCACAACAGCCCAGCACCAGATGCAGACCTGATAGAGTCTAAGATTGTATTATAAAGTTTACAGAAACTTGTGACAACATGGTGCTTTACAACATTTATCTCCAAATTATAGTAGGCATTTCAGGCAAGTGTATAGCTAAGGATCACCCTCCCTCCAGGCCTAACACTGTGAAAAGCACCAACTGATGAAGAGGCTCTAATTCTCAAAGTACAATCTGCTGAAAATGCAATAGATCTTACATAGCCTTTGGGAACCTGAATCTTGTTTACAAACCCCAAACATTTATGAAGTTATGAATAAACCAATCTTCCAAGATCTTCACAAATCTTAAAATTTCACAGATTAGATAATTTCCTTCATAAATGTGTGTATAATAGAAATTTTTCCATTGCCCTTTTAGACTATCCAGAGACCATGGGAGCAGTTTTAGACCATCCAGAGTCCATGGAATGCAGTACTCTGGGAGTGGTGGAGCAGGACTGTAATCTCAATAACTTGGGAGGTTGAGGCAGGAGGATCACAAGTTCAAGGTCAGCCTTGGCAACTTAGTGAAATCCTGTCTCAATATTAAAAAAAAAAAAAAAAGGCAGTGGTGATGGTGGCTGGGGATGTAGCTTAGTGGCAAAGCACTCCTGGATTCAATCCCAGTACCACAAAAAAAAAAAAAAAAAACCAGTGGCAGGCAACCAGCAGGTCTTTGACATCCAATAATTAGATTTTATTTACTTATTCAGTATTTCGGATTGAACCCAGGAGCTACCTATCATTGAGCTACATCCCCAACTCTTTTTATTTTTTGAGACAGGGTCTTGTTAAGTTGCCTAGGCTGGCCCTAAACTTGCAATTCCTCACCCAGCCTCTACAGTCACTGGGATTATAGGCATCTACCACCATATTCAGCCTGCCAATGTTGTTTTTATTTTATTAAGTTAATCCTTTAAATGCCAATGATCTATGATACAAAACAACCCAAGTCAGTCTCTAGTATAGCTCACTACTAATCTCTGATAAGACATGGATGATATCTATTTTCCATTCTTGGCTTGACATGTGGTTCTTCCTAATGATAACACCTGAAAATGCACTATTGCATCTCAACAACAAAGGGAGAAAAAGGAAAGTATTCTGTTGCCTATACCTAGTATCATGTACAGGGACTGCCATCTCCCTTTCTAAACACAACAAACTTATATCACAAACTGTAAATTCAAAACAAAATAAAACAAAACAAACAAACAAAAAACAGTATTTCTTTACCTGGAGCACAAAGACTCCACAGTCACTGTCATTTTTCTGTTGTGGAATACACTGAGGGGAAAAACAAAAAGGTCATTAAAATAAGATCAAGTACTTCTTTCCTCTTCAGATAAACACGACAAAACAGAATGAGACAGGAAACCTGTCTCTGTCCAGGACAGCTGGTATCGTGTTCATTTTATAAAGGCATCTGGCCACACGAAAAGTGCTATCAAAGGCATCCACAAATTATAAAACAATATTTTACCTAAATATGGGAAATGAAATGAAAACCCTATTTTAAAAACAACTATTTGGATACTTAGTTTTGCAATCAGTTCACTGACAAGTAAAAATGGAACTGTGGATGATCACAGAACATTTGCCTGAACTCTGAACACTTAGATGGTAACAATTCTGCTTAGCAGTCTTCACTTTTCATCTCTATAAAGCTCCCAAAACAACTGGTTATTGTATTCTGCCTCAAGTAGGAATATGAAAGATATTGGCTAAATTTAGAATACCTAGAATTCTAGCTGGGTAAATTCAGAAAATTTACAAGTTTAGTTCTGGCTTGAACTGGTTTACTAGATAATTAGAAACAGAAAACTTGAGCTTAACTGTAAAATTTAATATGTGGTTTAGTTCAAGGTTGAATTGATAAATCTTGATCCCTCTGGGACTGGGTTAAAGGTTATTTCAAGACTCTTGTCTATAACACTGGGTCAGTGATTCAGACAGACCTGAGTTCAAGGACCTGCCTCTACCAATAGTTCTGAGGAAGGTCTTCTGAAGGTCACACTTCAGTTTTCTCATCTATAAAATAAAGATGCTGTTCATCTTTAAATGACCACCTACCTCACAGGTTATAAGGATCAAATGAGATCATTATATAAAAACAATAAAATAAAGACTAAATTGTCAACACTGGTGTTCATGACAGGATTGAGATTATGCCCAGAAAGGCACTCTGGCCCATCAACACCTTTAATGTCTAGAAACCATAACAGAGCTACATCCGAACTGTCCTCACGCTGAAGAACTAAGGATAGGCCTAGAAAGTAGCCCAGTACTCTTGCTCCCATAATGGACCCAAATAGTCATTTAGCATTTCTCTGAGTCTGTAAGTGTCATGAGGCAAGAGGTAGGTGCCAAAATCCCCAGCCAAAACTTGTTTTTCAGCAGAGCAACTACATCATTAGCAACTGTGCCAGGGATGAAAGGACTCAAGTTACCTGCTTTCAGCAAGCACTGGGCAATTGAGTAGCCAGATGATAAAGTACTAAATTGGCTTAATCTGAGTTGCCTCCCTAGAGTCTCCTCCAAGCTCTTTTTGGTCTCTGTCAGTAGTCTTGAAATGCTCTTACACACAACCGCCCCTTGGATCATTCCCTCCCCTGGACATGCCCATTTTATTTGTATCACATACTTACCTTCGTAACAGCTGTCTGCCAACCCTGAAGAAATTCAGGTCTATTTTTTTCTCTGGCTTCAGTCAGCAAATACTTTCTTATATTCTGGTTAAAAAGAAACCACAACACAGATGCTGTGTTCCATGAGTTGGTGAAAAATGAAACCTGCCCATAGCAGGTAGAAGCAAAGGAGGTGGCAACTGTGGCCCCACAAAATTGGGCAGTGTGTGCACAAAAGAGTTAGAGCTGGAACTT